TTCAGAGGAATTGCATATTTGGCGACCTCAATCATCTAGAAACGAGGGGTACTACCTTTCGAAGAAGGCCCTAATCTCACAAATTCATCTTTACCATCATAAGAACTTTATCCCAACTATTTGATGCTGGTATAAATTTACCTATCTAAATTTAAAGAGTGAAGTTTGTACAAGGCACCCTCTTTATACAGTAAAAATAATGCACACCTCTAAATTTTGTCGAGAGAGGTAGTTTCGGTATCATGAACCCTAAGATGGCTTCAAAAACTATTTTCATCCTTAGCTATGGACAAGAAATACTATTTTTTGTATGTAAAATTCTTCTTTTCTTTATATCCATGCATTTTGAGGTCGAGATAATCAGAATGGAGGATTTTTCACTATCGGGAAAACTCTTTTAGAGGACTTTTTATGTGTACCTTACTGCAATAGTATAAAGTTAACACCTCATAAAAACTTTTTCCAAATTTAAATACAGTAAACTGCATGTTAGTAAGAACCGTCTAATCCACATGAAATGGACGGCTGGGATTGTTTATGTCACGATACCATGCTAAAATATTATTTGATTTTTATTTTTTAAAAAATATTTTTTTGTATAAATTAGAGAGTCCCCTCTTCATATTGGAAAACGCTCATAGAAAAAAAATTATGATGAAAATAAATGATTAAAAACCTCCTTCAAGTTTCAAGTATATTTGAATTTTCCATAACCACAAATTATTCATTTAGTATTTTTCTCATGCGCACCCCTATGAGATGTGTGCACACCCTAAATTTTACATCGAAATAATTTTATTCAATAAAAACTAAAAAAAGAACACACAAAATTGTTAGATCAAGCACTGATGCTCAAGAGCCAAATTGTGACATTGTGACTCGAGCCATTGCAACTATCTACTCAAATCAGATAATTGTCTACTCAGTAAAAAATAAAATATTTTTTATTTTTCAAAATACCCCTCGATACGAGGTTTTTTATTAACAAGGTAGTGCCCTATGCTTTAGGGGTAATGGTCAGGCGGTCAAAAATTAGGATCTTCGAACCACCCCGCGAACACAATAAAAACCAGCAAAGAAGTCTGAGGTCTCCATCCTCATACCAATATTTTTTTCAAAAAATAAAAAATAAAGTGCAGAATGATGATGGGACCTTGGATTACCTTAAAATTAAGTTTTGTTCAGTCCAAATAGCGGTCTCGGGTCCCATCCTCTGACCGCTATTTTTCTTATAAAATAATAAAACACATTCCGAAGATGAAGACCTTGCACCACTGTTTTTCTAAAAAAAACAAAAAGAAATTATTGATGCCTTACTTCTCAAGGGAAATAACAAATGCAACTTGCATCCCTTAGTGGCAATTGCCTCTCTCTATCTCTCATTATCTGAACATGCAGCTGCTGAAAAATTTTCTCGTACCTTTCCTATCAATTGCACATGGAAACAATTTCCCTCTGTGTTCTCCCTCGGCGTCCGAAGTCACCAACTTCGGACCGCTTTATTTTTGTTGACCGTTTGAGGATGGGGACCTCGAACCGCTTTCTAAGTGAGAAAAACTTATTTTTAGGGCAGTTCGAGTTCTCTATCTTCGGACCGTGCTTTATTTCTTATATTTTGAAAAAAACAATGGTTTGTGTATGGGTCCTCCAACCGCTCTATTGGAGTTTTGTTGTGTTTGCAAGGCGATATGAGGATTCTATCCTTAGACCGCTTGGGCATTGCACCTAATGCTAGGGCCATTACCCTACTAACGAAAATCATAAAACAAAATTAAAAATAAAATGTGGTCCGAGGATGGACGGTGGGGCAATTTTGAAAAAAATAAAAAAAGTGGGTTGATGTGCATAATTTACTAGTGATTAACATACGGAACCTAATTTTTTTTTAATATACGAAATGCTCTATTTTTGTGCAGAGATTACAAAGAAGGTCGATCAACCTGCCTTTTTATTTTTTTCAAAATTGCCCTTCAATTTGAGGATGGAATCCTCGGTCTGAATTTTAATTATTTTTTTAGTTTTTTCTTTAGTAGGACAGTGCCTCAAACATTAGGTTAATGCCCTAGCAATGAAAAAAAAAAAGAAAAAAAAAAGAGAATTAAAATTCTGTCTGAGGATGTCCTTTGATTGAAGACCAATTTTGGAAAAAAATAAAAAAAGGTGGTTGAACGACTTTTTTTTGTAATTTCCATCTATAAATGGAGCATTTCGTATTTTAGAAAAAAATTTAGGGTCCGTATTTAAATCACTCAAATATCATAGATACTAAAAAGAAAAATTGTTTCATGCAAGCTAGATCGCATCTCTACATATACAGTCATGAGGTATAAAGCATTCATCTTAAAGATGGATGCAAATAGGTTCGGTCTAAAAACAGTTGAAACTAACAGTCCAAATGTTTTTTAATTGAATTATTATTTTTTATTTTTAAAATTTATTTATTTTTCATATTCATGATCTCCATGTTAGAGATTACATGGCCTTAAAAATTAAGTCCAAAAGTCCATCGCAAATATTTTTTTAATTGAATTATTATTTTTTATTTTTAAAATTTATTTATTTTTCATATTCATGATCTCCATGTTAGAGATTACATGGCCTTAAAAATTAAGTCCAAAAGTCCATCGCAAATATTTTTTTAGTAGAATTATTATTTCTATTTTTTAAAATTTATTTATTTTTTCATATTCATGATCTCCATGTTAAAAATTAAACAAAAAAATCCATTTCACAAGTAGATTTATTAACGGGCCTGCAATTCTACCAATGCGGGCTTGGCCGCATAGCAACCGGGTCCAAGAACAAATGTAGCAAACAATATCAAGGAATCAATAATACAAGTAATAGACACACACAAGCAGGCATAAGCCATGTACTTAAAAATCATTCTCAAGGCTTAGGCGGGGCGAGTCCAGCCTTAAGTTTCTGGATAGTTGCAACATCAGTCTTCAAAGACTTGGCCAAGACATCGTCACTAATCCCACTGGTGAAGAGAGTAGTCGGAACGGACACCGTTCCTGCACTGGCACTCCCAAATGCCGACAAAGCCATGGCCGGATATTGAGCATTGGAGTTATACTGGTAGTGAACCAAGCCTTTCGGGAACACAAACATGTCTCCAGTTAGAAGGGTTTGAGCATAAAGCTTGCCAGTAGTGTCCACCACCCCTACCTCCAAAGAGCCTTGTACCAGGAACAGGAGCTCTGCGGAGCGTGGGTGGGTGTGTGGTGGGTTCACGCCACCAGAAGGGAATTGCAGTACAGCGTACGACACACTTTGGCCATCCAAAGCTGGGAACTCGGCTTTAGTAGCTTTTGTCACCTTGAAATTGGGCGGCGGGCTGGATCCTACAACAACTCGCATGCCTGTAAACGTGAAGAAGTTGCCGTCTGGATTAGTGATGTTGGCAGGGAGGATGAAGTCTGAGAGAATGTCCGGGTCACCTGCATTAGTGGACATGAGCACCATGGCCCATGAAATCACCATGCATAGCCCATAAACAATGGTGGAAGCCATTGGTAATGAATATTTAGGTCAATGCAGCAAAAGTTGAATGTCTGTGGTCGTGTTTGAGTTTGTGGAAATGGTATGGGGCATTTATATGTATGTGTAAGGAGTGAGGAAAGTGGAAAGCAAGAGGTTTTAGTTGTGAGGGCTGGCCGGCTTATGCGTTAAAAATCACAAAGCCCAGGCTGGCTTTATTTGTAAAGTTTGAGGCCTTAGGTGAAAACAATGTTAGTAGCTTAAGGAGGTGGGCTTGCTTTGTTTTATTTTAGGCCGGCATCATTTTGGTGTACAACAGTTTCCAATGGCTAGGGATTCCCGCTCTTGACGTAACAGGTAAAAGGATGGCTTATTTGGGCTTTTTCTTATTTCGCGATTTATAATCACTAAACCGGATTGGGTATGGTGCGTGTACTAAATTTCTATAGATTTTATGGTTTTTTTTCTTTGGCTCTAGAGGTTTGGCCTATCTAGATTGGAATCATTGATCGGGATTAAGTTGTTGAGTTAGTGTAGACATCCTTTTGAAATTCTAGCTAAGAAAACTCCAAAAAATTTCGATTTTGATCCTAAAGAACCACACAAACCCTAGCAGACTAAAGGAAACTTAGACTCAATTTAAGAACTCCAAAATTACCCAAATCTATTTCAACTTGAAGTAGAGCTCAAGATCTTTCCAACGGTCCAAGAATCGCTTGAATCGGACATACGGAAAAGATATAGCAAATGACAATTTAGACCCTATGAGACCCAAGTATCGGGCCGCGGGCCAGGCTGTAATGCGGCTAGGTAAGGCCATACCCAGCATGATGATGTAGACAGGGCTTGATGATGCAGTCAACGTGTTTTATGATCTTGGATTAGAAACGGCTAAAACTTCATAAATCTAAAAAAATTCAAAAAAATTAAGAAAAATTACCAATTGAATCTTATAAATACCACATCTTCCTAACCCAAAAGGAGGATGACAAGGGATTTTTTTGAATTAGATAAGGCTAAAACTTCAATATAAACTCCCTAACTCAAAAGGAGGATGAAAAAGAGGCCAAAAAAGGAAAGAAATCCTTTAGAAATTTCTGAGATTAGAAAAATTGCCTAAAAATACCAAGAAAATAAAAAAAACCCTTACAAAATTACTAAATAAATTAGAAAAATCCCCAAAAATCTCAAAAAAATCAGAGAAATCGCAAGATTCATATTCAACATCTTGAGATACCAAAATATTTTGAAAACTAAGGAATTTCTCATCCAATCCTAAGAAAAAAACCTAGATAGACCATACCTAAAATTCTCAGTTTTTTCCCCTGCCTTAGGAACCCTAGATGTAGGTCAAATAACCTTAGATCTACTAGTTTCAGCAAGCAAAGACATCCAAAAAAAGAAGAAGATGGTGGTGTAAATCGGAAGAGCGGCTTGATCTCTCAAAACTTCGGGTTTCGGGTCCCTAGAGCTAAGTATCACTTTTTTTTTTTGCTTAATTTAGTTTGTTTTTCTTCATTTAATTCTCTGTTTTATTTTATTTTATTTTGAATATTAAATTATTATTAAATTTGATTAAATTTAGGAACGTTTTTAGGTCAAAATACGGATTTGGAGCTGGCGCTGCAATAGATTCAGAAAAAGACCGGATCTGTATAGATCTAGGATTTTTTCTGAGCCCAAAATTCAAACGACCCCACTCTCTGTACTTTTTCAAAATTAATTCATATTTTGCTAATATTTGAGCAGATCTCATCCCAGAGATCAATGCAGATCGGAGTGTATATAGTTTGGCGCCGACCGTGGGGCACCTTGAGCTTCATATCCGTATTTTAGATTTAAAAACTTCTACTTCTTTTTATTCTCATATTTATTTTTCCAACAAAAATAAAAATAACAAAGAATAAAAAAAGAAGAATATTGAGGTAGATTTAAAAAGATTTCTTTTTATTAGATTCTATATTTGCTTTCTAGATCTTATTTTTTTTCTCTCTCCATAAAAAGTTTAAGATCTTTTTCCTCTCAATCTTTAGATTATCTTTATTTTTTTCAAATCATCTTTCTTTTAGATCCTTCTTGATCATCTTTACCATTAGATCTTTCTTTTATATTCATCTTTTAGATTATCTTTTTTGATAATCTTTTAGATCATCTTTGTTTTTTAGATCCTTTCTTAGATTTATCTTGATATCCTCTATATCATATTTTTCGTATCTTCTTTCATTCATGTTTATCATCTTTAAATCATTTTTATCTTCTGTAGATCATAATTATCTTTTTTAAATGCATTTTTATCTTTTTAGAATACATCTTTTAGAAATAATCTTTATCTCTTTCCTAATAAAAAAAAAAAAAATTTACCTCATTTGATAAAATACTTTATTTTTTTAAAAAAAAAGAAAGAAAAGAAAAAAAAGATAGATCTAGGTCTTCTCTACTTTATCTGCTTAGATTAGAAATAGATCTCATCTTTCTTTCTTTTTTTATCTTGTCTTTTGTTGTTAAACCCTATCGACATTAGAAAAAAAAATATTTTTCTTTTAGACGCTTATTTATCTTCTTTTTTTAGATAACTCATAAAAATAGTAAAAAATAAAAAATAAAAACAAAAGGATAAAAAAAAGGAGAATATTTTTTTTGCATAATTTTCTAATCATGTCTGTAGTTTGTGATGACTCAGATACTGAGTCTACTGCATCATCTAGGCCCCCTAGGATGACTAGACCCACAAGACTTTATGGCTCAGATTCCTGGGCCTACCCTGTCTCAGGTCATTCAAGATCAGGCTCCAATGAATCCATTGTCCCACACCCACGGTTACGTATAGTCTGTAAGTCAATCGAGCCGTGGTGTCCAGCAAGTATGTATAGCCCGAGGCACCCTCAATAGTCAAGGTGTTCGACTAGGGTCTAAAGAACTAGAGTTGAACCCATATTCGTCATCTAGGTCTAAGATTAAGGGAGATGCTGCTCAATTAGGGACACATTTCCCACAAAACTCTAGTTCTAGGGGACATGCTGCCCAATCAGTAGCTAAAACCCCTCTATCTGTCAAATCTAAGGGAGATGCTACCTAACTAAGGTCTCATCGCCCACAAGTACCTGAGTCTAAGGGAAGTCTCGCTAAACTGGCAATTCACCCCACATCATCATCGAAGTCTAACAGTGATGACTCGCATCTGTCTAGCTCCAGAGTTGATACTGCCGAACTAAGGGCGCGCCATCCACCTCTACGAAAGTCCAAGTCGAAGGGAGTTGCTGCTAAAATTTAGAACATTGGCAACACCCCATGTGACGTCCCAAAACTTCCGGTGTGGTGTTGTGCACAGCAGAAGGAGGCGCACAGCGGGATAAGGCAAAGTGCGCAGCAAGGCGAAATGAATGTGTCGACGTGAGTGTTAGTGATGCAATGGATTTAGACCGTCGGGACTGATTATGTAGGATGGTCCTTGAGGGACCACCCCCTTTTCCCTCTTTCTTTGCCCTTTTTCTTTTCTCTTCTTTTTCTCTTCCTCGTTGTGCCACTTGCTGCCCTCCCTATGACACTTGGAGGTGGCTTACTGCCACCTCACCTCCCCCTTCTCCTTATTTCTTTTAAACCCACCCAGCTCTCTCTCCCTCTCTTTTCCTCTCACCCTCATGCCCTCCACTCCTCATCTCTCTCTCTCTCTCTCTCTCAGAAATTTGGGGAAGCTTGGAAGAAGCTCCCTTACCTCATTGTTGGAGCCCTTGTAGAGGAGCTTGAAGTGGCTATAGAAGGAAAGATTGGAGGGTACTTTTGTTGTTAAAGTAAGTGGTTCATTACCTTGTCATTTCATAGTATGAATTGAACATGAATCAAGCATGATTTTGATCCTAGAATAAGCATGAATAATGCATGCGGTGAGCATGAAAAGGGTGTGAACAATGACATTATATGCACACTGTTCTGTTATGATTTTTCAGCAACAATTACTTGCCTTTGCATTATAAATGAGTGATGAAAATCTTCAAATTATTGGGGGAAACTTGTGAATTAAGGGGGCATATGTATCTATTATGTGTTAAAAAGGATTGCATATTGATTTCTATTGAAAGATGGAAGCTACGAATAAATCTTTAGGGCATGCTATGACTGTGACATGAAATTCCAGGGACTTTGTATGATTTTGTAACACGTGATTGGACTATCAAATAGTGTCAGAATTGCCTCAAATTATAATCATTAGAAAGGTCTATGAGTCTATTTTAATCTTCAGTTTTGGGTCCAACTGAAAGTTTGAATAATTTGAAAGTTATACTTCACTTTATGCACCTATGTCACTGTTGACAGACTGTGTAAATTTTCAGAAATATCACTCTAGTTATACTAAGGTTTCGTTTGACCAAATGCAGTCCAAATAACTCATAACCATAGCCATTTGAAAGATACACGAGTTTACTATGAGTTTCATGTTTTAACCTTATACCCATGGCACTCAAGACTGTTATAACTTAAAGCTCATCATCTAGGAACTCTTAGATAAGGGTGCTATCAACTACACTCCCACCGATGCACTGGTAGAGGCCTCTAATCAAAAGATGTGAATATTTGCTAATCTATTCTCGAATAATGGCAAGAAAGTTGAATTGAATCCTCCAAGGAGGCCAGATCAGTTGTCATTACAATGATTGAAGATAAGTTACTCAGGGGAGACCTTAAAGTGCAAAACCATAAGGATACCCAAGAAAACCTCCTAGTTTCCCCTTGGGATCATGTCATCTTCAAAAGTAAAGAAGCCATAGTCAACAAAGATCCATGCATAAACATAATTTCAACTAACCGGGACTACACTCCATCGCAAGATGAGAAAGCTGAAAATCCAGGAGAATCTAGACCAGTGTCATCATCGTGGCCAGTAAAAACCCTAAAGAAGTTGACTACCTCACGAGGAGAGGAAACCACTTAAAGCCACATCGATTGATGGCTGACACTCTAGAGCAAAGGCTCGAGAATCTTCCCAAAGTTGATCAAAGTCCTAGCATGCCCAATGAAACAACAATGGAACAAGAAACGGACATTGCTGAGCCTATCACACAGTACAACTTGCCAG